TCCATTGAAGCTTTTAGTTTGTAACATGGGAGAGGCAGGTAGAACCTAGCCAGTTGCCCTCTCCTGGACTTGCTATGATTTGGTTTTCAGTGAGGCCAGGAAATTCTTTTGGATGGAGTGTGATTCTCCTATAGGCAGCTTGCTCATGATCCATTCATTCAGGGCATGCAAAAGTCATTGCTTAGGACCCAGTCTGTACCTAACAGTGTGGTAGGTTCCTGGGCTTGAGAGAGGACTAGAATGGTTCCTGTGCTCTGGAAGATCATACCTGTGTAGAGGAGACAGACACAGGAACTGTGAGAGGGGTGCTGGGATAGGGTCTGCCCAGGGTGCTGTGGGAGCACATAGGAGGGGCTCCTAACTCAGACTGGGGCTCAGGGAGGCTTTGGCTCCTATAGTAGATTACTTCACATCCAACATGCTCTTTATGTCGGGCCAGTTGGTTCTTCACAAATGTTAAATCAAAGCATGCCAGCAGTTCCTCCCTGGTTGGCCTAATATAGATCTTTCACAGTTTTCCAACCCTAGGATTATCTCCTCCAGACTCTCTAGGTCTCACCGATGAAGTGTATGTTCTTGTGACTTGGGTTCCTTGGAAGCATACATTAGTTGCCTGATGGCCTCATCCCATACTGGGCAGAGGTATGAGCTGCCCTGGAGCCTTCTTTGATGATCCGTATTAATCTTGCTTCCTTTGCTCCTATAACTCCTCTGCTGGGTGGAGTGGGGAGGTTGTTGAGCTTATGGGCAAAAGTGAGTTCCACTGAGTCACAGAGCTTGGCCTCTGCTCACCTTCCCACAGTAGAAGTCAGAGTGGGCTTCTATTCCCAGCCGCCTCCCCTCCCTTCTGAGGATCTGCCCATAGTCTGTTGGGATATCAGTGAATCCCACCCTTCAGGAGGCCTTTTGGATACCACTCTTCCATCTCCCTCATCTCCAGCTGACCTCCCATATGGCCAAATAGACTCTAAGGATAGAAATCCAGTTCTTGAAACCGAGCCTTTCAGATTCTGCTGTGGCACCTGTGAACAGTTTCAGTATTCAACCATAAATATCTTTTAAAATCATAAACATAGTACATGACCATGATTGAAAATATCTACAATAAATATGTGAGGCCTAACTTTTGGGTGGAATACAAGGGTGAATTAGATGAGGTTCTTGCCCTGAAGGTGCTCACAATCCACTATCCATTTAGATCAGATGGTTTTCACTGCTGGTCAGCACTTAATGAAGCAAACCCTTTACTAACCTCCTCCAATACCACCTACCCCCTCTAATCCCTTTGGGGACAGGAAAGGATAGGCTCCTGTGACAAAGGATGGCTGTTTTCCCCCATACCTACTCCCCATGGTGCCTGGAGCTACCCATGCGCTGGGACTTGAGTTTTCGAGTCTATCATAGCACCTAGCCTGGGGTGGGGGGGTCCCTTTGCAGGCATTTGATAAACACCTGCATGAGAAATTGAAGTAGCTGATTGATAAAGGAATCTACTCCAAGGTCAAACTCCCTCTGGGGGCCCTGTGGTCACTGCTTGGTTGGCCTTTGGGCAGAGCACATTCTTTGTCAGCTCACTTTCATGAACGTCCAGCCTGACCCAATTATTAAGTTGCCATAATAGCCTAATGGACTTGACATTTAAAGAAAAAAAATTGTCTTATAGGACCTGTTTTTCTGGGGGAAGGGATGATGGTTATGGCGTCACCTGGACTCCTATCATTCCAAACAAAAAAAGTCATTTCCTATTCTGTTCTCTCAAGCATGTCAGATGGATCAAAGGGAAGACAGAATTATGGGCAGGGAAACTGGAAGTGAGACTAAACAGGGTTGCAAACTTGCTGAAGTCACCCCATGGGATCACAGAGTGGCATTTTCCAGTTAAACACAACAGGGTTTTTGTTTTTGTTTTTTTTTGTTTGTTTTTTAATGTCTGAAAATAAAGGAATCTCCTTAAATAACTGTGTCTTAAAGTCCTCATTTTTTTAAATTAAAATTTATTGGGGTGACAATGTTTAGTGAAATTATATAGGTTTCAAGGTACAATTCTGTAATACATCATCTATATATCACATTGTGTGCCCACTACCCAGAGTCAGTTCTCCCTCCATCACCATATATTTGACCCCCTGAAAGGCCTCATTTCCGTGCAGGGTAGCAGCGTGCTAGAAAGGGCTAGGCTTGGGGAGTGAGATTTGAATCTTGGTTCTGTCCCATTCTAGCTGTGTGGCCTTTGGAAATTCACTCAATTACTCTGAGCTTCAGCCTCCTCACCTGTAACATATCTGACCCACAGAGTTATTCAGAAGATTTAAGGTAAAACAAAAAGCTCCTAGCACAGATCAGGGGCTCAGTAAGTGATATTTATAATAATGGGATGATAATGATAATGTTAACAATGGAATACGTGGCTCTCTGAGCTCTATGTTGCCTCATATAGGTAGACATGACTCTGTTTCCTCATCCAAGATTGTCTTTGTGACCTGAACCACTCTGCATGCTCCTTATTGTCCATATATTTCTATGGGTTAAGATGTGATTGTCTTCTTTCCCTAAATATCAACTCTAATACTAGAAGCTGTGCATAGTTTCACCTCAGAGAAGCAGTATATGGGCACACATAGTGGCATGTCAATTCCACTCTACCTACTCAGCACATTCTTTTTTTTTTTTTAAGATTTTTTTGGGGAGTTGGGGGAAGGGAACAGACAAGTTGCTGTCCTTC